CGTCCATATAATTTTGAAATTCGAAAAGAATCCGAAAAGGTCTGGTATTTTTGCAAATATATCTGAGAAAAAAATTAGACACGTTTTCAAAGGTAAATCCGCTACTGGATGATTTGAATGATCGCCTTGGTGTGATCATTTCTGTGATGAAAGTTGCTTCATTGACGAATGCGAGTTGTCCCTTCAGAATGACTGTTGAAATTCCTCCTGGACATCTGACTGTGCAGTTTTCGTTGACCATTGAGTTGATGAAGTGGAATCGCACCGTGGAAATTTCTCCCTCTGGGGTGCAGCGAACGATTCTGGTTGTATCTGAACACTCAATTTGTGCCGTTTCTTCACTTATTGATGACCTGCACGAGACATTAGCAATCGCTCCCTGTGTGCAGGAATAGCATCCTGTCAGCTCCTCCATATGTACTTGACATGAATTGTTGTTGATGCTAGCAGCAATGACTAGTTCGTTCGTTGATATCTGAATTGTGAGCGCAGAGTCGATTGTTGTTTTTGCCTTAATGGTTTGCCGCTCATTTATCAGTGCTGCTTGACCTGTAATTACTGGAAGCTTATTATGTTTATTGTGCAGAAATGACGACGTTGTCCCATTTGGACAGGAGCATGTGACTGCGTATTTTCTTGGGTTACAGGAACATGCATATTGTGCGAAAATGCAGCTCCCAAAAGACTTTGCTTCTTCTTCTGTTCTACATTGTAACTGACCGGCGGAGTTTGGTAGAAGTTGTCCTTGCTGAGATGGTTCGATTCGCGTCACGATGTTGCCGTCCGTTATGAAATAGCTTGATAGAATCGGAAGATTTGGTAGAATTGTACCTGCAAAGGTCAGTCGAAGGTTATTCCATGTGAAAGGGAATTCCTGGCTGGAGAGTGAAGTGTTGAGCAGTAGTAGAACTTTCTGTTCTTAGCGTGACGGTTCCTTCTGCTTGGATGCTCCATGTGGGGCATGAAAAGACTCGGTATATCGTGGATGATGTAGGTACTGTACCTATAGAAGAGAGATGTTGATGTGCAGTGGAAGCACCAGTCGCACCAAAAGCATCCACAGCTTGGTACACAGTATGTGTATCCCGGATTTGCCTTTGCAATCATACTGAAGTCGTGTAGTTTCGTCTCCGGTTTGAGTGACGCGCAGGTGTTACCTCTGCAGCTTTCAGTGTTATAGCACTGATGTCGGGATTCCGTGAAGAACTCGTAATCTCTTGTGAAATATTCGGTTTTCTGTTTACAGATGTGAGAGATTTGTTTCAGTCGGATGGAAACTGTTGCCATGATTCGGTTTTCCTTGTTTTTGAGTAGGAGACAAGCTTCTTGTCCGATCGGTTGAAGGAGCAGCTGGGTAGTTTGTCCGTATATGCATTTCTCTTCGTTTTCGGTGATTGTGCAGTATGATGTTTCTCCTTGGTGAGTTACTATATCGGAGCAGCATCGGACAGTAGAGACTAGACAGACGATGGTAGCCACTATTCCATATGGTCTTCTTCTTCTCCTTCTTAGTTGATACGGTGATCTTTCGATTGGGTAGCTCTGGTTTCTCCCGGAAAATCTCTTGTATATGGTGACAGTCGTTTTTACGGCGGCGAGGGGCAGATATAACGATTTTCGGCACTATTTACCCTTTACTGCCCCAGCCATCCGAAATCAGGCCAGTTCCTGACCGACTTTTTTCTCCGTGGGCAGAATTTGCTGAAAACTTGGCTCCAGGGGTAGTTCGACCCGCTGAACACGAATATCGCATCCGCTTGACCCGAAACCTCCTGGCGCCCGCGCCACGGGCGCCGGCGCCAAAATACTCGAAATCACCAAATTCGCTGAAAACTTGCTCCTAGGGGTAGTTTGACCCCCTGATCACGAATACCACTTCCATATTGCATGAAAAAATGCATGACCAACGCTTCTTCGAAAATCCCGCGCTCGCCCAGCTTTCACACGCAAGCTCGTGGGAAATGGGATTTCCCACGGAATCGTGTGGGAATTGAGTGTTTCTCGTGGTGACGTCTTCAAAACTGACCTATTAACTTGGGAAGCCCCTTTGCTCCTCATTTAGCTATTCTCATGGCTCTGAACGTACTTCATCGCCGCAACCGCGAGACCGGAAATCGAGTAATACTATCCAAACGACCCTCTTTAGGGCCCCAAATAAGAGCGAATACTATT